TAGCTGCATTTCAGCTAGCCTGGACACCTAGCCTTGTTATTATGCAAATGTCTTCCACCAATTGTCTAACTGATCCCAGAAACTATAGGAGGCAGCAAAATAGAAGGAAGGGGTATATAAAGAAGAAGCTGATTTCCAGGGCAAGCATATGAATTTGAGGGAAAGGGGACAAAAATCTGAAAACATCCAAGTCAGAGATCTGCTCTAGCAGAATTTCCTCTAGGCAATGCTGGCCACTTCTTCTACACATGTGAACCACCTTCATCTTCAACCTAAGTTGAAAAATCACTTTTTAAGCAGAATTATTTGAAGAAAATCATGGACTGGTGGGTTCATCAATCAAAACAAAGATATTGCTCCTGTGGAGGATATTGATAATGTGGGAGGCTGTGCGTGTGTGGGGGCAGGGGATAGAACAGAAATCTGTGTCCTCTCTCATAATTTTGCTATGAACCTAAAACTGCTCTAAAAGATAAAATCAATTTTAAAAAAACGGACTGGAGTCAGGCAGACTTGTAAGTGAACTTTAGATTGACCACTTTCTAGCTGTCTGATCTTTACTGAGTAGTTGAATGTTTCTGAAGTTTGGATTCTCTATTTTAGGGTCAAATGAAACAATAATGAATAATAATAGCTGCTATTTATTGAACATATTTATTATGTGCTAAGTGGTTACTTTTTAGCCTCAGTGGGCACTGAAATTATTATTCCCATTTTACACATGAGCAAATTGATGCAAAGAAGTCAGGTGATGTGACTAAGGTCCTCCAGCTATTAAGAGGCAGGACTTGCATGTTGAAGTCAATGTGGCATAGAGGTTAGAGATATTAATTCTCTATGAGGCTGCCTGCCCGGCCCCTTGGTAGCAATTTAAACAGCTGTGAATATAAGAGGGTACAACTCACGTAAAGCCCTTAGAACATATTGGGCTATGGTACTACTATTACCCCAGCTCCCCCTCAGCCTCCACAACATTCCTTCCATAATCTGCTTCCCTCACACACAGTCAACACAAGACTGGTCTATACTTGACATTTAGCAATGTTTTGTCAAAGCTTTACTCCTTTTATTTCCTTTCTTACATAAACACCTGTCCTCTTATAAATAAGGACTAAATTAAAAAGTTTCTATTTGTGTGTTGGGGGCAGTTGTCAATTATAATTTAAAAACTTATCAAAAATTTTATATGCCATTCTGGAAATATCCGTCAAGAGACAAAGAAGGGTCTCAACAATCAAGATCCTTTTTTTTTTCTTGAGATTTTTATTTACTTATTCATGAGAGACACAGAAAGAGGCAGAGACATAGGCAGAGGGAGAAGCAGGCTTCCTCTAGGGAGCCTGATGTGGGACTTGATTCCAGGACCCCAGGATCATGATCTGAGCCAAAGGCAGACGCTCAACCACTGAGCCACCCGGGTGCCCCAACAATCAAGATCTCTTAAAAACTTTGTAGAGTGAGTTTCTTGAGTTGGGTCTGTGATGGTATACACTAAATATATGTTTTTTGTAACTATTCTGTATCTGGCATAATTTACATGTTTCATTTGCATTTTTGAAATGTTCTTCTAACCAAAGCCAATTGACTTTTGTGTGTGTGTGTATAGTTACCCGATGTAACCTTCTCTTACCGCACCTGTCCTAACACTTCCTGAGACACTGACTCATCTTGTTACATTGCAGTTGGTTGAATTGAAGAGCATGTCCCCTTCCTGGATCGTTATGTCTTTCTTAGCACCCGCCAACACTTGCATGTCTAGGTGGAATGGACCCCGTGCCACTGCTCCTAGGCAATTTTTACACCTCACTTCAACCCGAGTCCTCCCTCAGCCTGGGTTCTCCCTGGGCTTTTCCTTTTCACTGCTCCATTTCCTAGTGGGAATGCCAGAAACCCAGAGTTAGGTTCCAGGTAAACGCAGGTGCAGGATCTGATCTAGTCACGGGGCCTATGAGTAGTCACCAGGGCAAAAGAGAGTTGATACATCTCTGTTCTGAGTTTTAATTCTGTTGCAGGGAGGTGCCTTTGCCAGGTAAATGCATTATGAGTAGTGAGATGAGAAGAAACAGGCTTGATTCATCAACAGGCTGCTTTACAAAGTGCATTTTTGATGCGGTTCTTTACAGCATGCAATGTTTCATCACTTACAAATGATGTTAAAGATGGCAAGTAGAGGCAGGAAAGGAGCATTTTATTGATCTTCACTGTGTCCTGGGCATTCTGTTGGGCACTTAAGGCCCACTCATTTATTTAATCCTCACGTCAATCCTGAGAGATAATTATTATTGTTGTTGTTATTGTCACATGTACTCTGCAAGAAAATTACTACTGTTGTGTTCTTATTATTTTCCTCAACTTGCAAGTCAGGATACAGGCTCAAGGAGGTAAAATAAATTGTCCATGCTCACATAGCTGGGAAGAGACAGTGTTGGGATGAAGCCTGAGTCTGAAGATTGCCCATGGGAGTGAGTTCTGCCACTGATGTCGTATCACTGATGGTACTACATGGTGCTAGATGGGATGCTGTGGCATTCTCCTGGGTGTGAGTCCTGGCAGCATGGCAGCACCATGAAGCAAGGAGCTGGACAAAGAAACCAATCTGAGACAAAATACTCCCTTTCCACTCTCCTTTCTTTCCAAGTCTTTTTTTTTTTAAAGATTTTATTTATTTATTCATGAAAGACATACACAGAGAGAGAGAGAGAGAGAGAGAGAGAGAGAGAGAGAGGGAGAAGCAGGCTCCAAGCAGGGAGCCCGATGTGGGACTTGATCCGGGGACTGTGGAATCACAACCCTAGCCGAAGTCAGACGCTCAACCACTGAGCCACCCAGGTGTCCCCCTTTCTTTCCAACTCTTAACCTCTGCCTTTGCAAAGACTGCCAGTGAAATGAGTCAGGTAGAGGCTGGGGTCTGAAGTCAGAGGGTCTGAGTTGAAATCCCAGCTCCACTATTTATTGGCTGAGTGTACTTTACATTTGTGGCAAATTACCTTTACCACGTGCTTTGGTTTCTGCAGTTGTAAAGTAGGGATAATACATAATGTGAGTGGCTTCATTCATTCACTGAACAACTTCTGTTGAGTAATACTATGGGCTCGACACCTTTAGGAGCCTGGGAGATGAGTAAAACAGAGCCCCTCCTCAGAAAGAAAGTTATACAGGAGAGAAAGGACAAAAAACCAACAAACCAAACAAACAGCAAAACCACCCCAAAACAGCACCAAACAAGAAACAGGGAAGTAGTAAGGAGTGAGAGGGAAAAATACACATCAAGTACTTAGAATAATGCTTGGCATGTGGTAAGCACTCAATAAATGTTAACTATTATTCTTTTTCCATCTGTGTAGCAATTTGAAATAAAATAAACCAGGATACCCAGGCTCTCAGTTGGGGTTTCTTTCCACAGCTGCTTCTTCCACTTCCAAGCCCACTGATTTTTCTAGAAACTCTGACAGCTTCCATGACACCCAGGCTTCATGCTGCGGTCTCGGGTCTGGAGGGAGGCTGCCTGTTGGTTGCTCACTTGGCTGTCTCCTGCTAGTGGGTTTGAGCCCTTTGAGGGTAGGGACCAGCCTCTCAACCAGCTGTGTGCTCTGAGGGCCTGCACGTAATAAGTGCTCAATAAATATTTGTTTTTGAGGGAAAAAAAGGGGAGGTAGCTTGTATGTGGAGCCATGAATCGCCCCTGGGTGCTTTTATATTTACTATGTTTTACCAAGAAAAGTGTTGGCTTTCGGTGTGGTGATTGGGAGGAAGCCAGGAAAAAAAAAAAAAAAAAAAGACAGAGACCAAAAAATTCATTTGCTTGAGCTGTTGCTCTTCTGAAATGAGAACAGACAGCATCAATCTTCAGTGGTCCTTTAATTATTCTTGCCAGGACTGAAGGCTCATTCCTGACGCCTGCCAGTGACAACAACTTAATGTTGTCATAAGCAGAGCAGCTTAACGGGAAGAAGAGAGGCTTGCAGTATCTCGGCCAGGGCCAGGGCCAGGGCCGTGGGGGCCCCTGAGTGGGGAGCTGCCCTTCCCTCATCTGACAGGCAGCTGCAGAACATCTCCTCCCAAAGTCTGACACTGACCAGCAATTCTCTGGGAAAAGATTGTGCTTAAGAATTTGGGGGTGCAGGGGGCAAGATGCAGAGCACAAGGCCAGGTATGATTACCCATTTTGAATATGGCACTCAATGTAACCTTCCTAATTCACTGTTTATAGGAACCCCTGTCCCCCTCAATGATTAAGAGTGATTTTAAGTGCCTTAAATTGGGTCAATTTCAAAGTGTTTTCTGGATGAGCAAAAGGAGCTCAACCCAAGACAAACAGAGTTCACATGGATAGTTTACATTCTGCTGAACTGTTCTATTTTTAATAAGCATGTTAATAGCAAGGCAACAAGATTGCCTATAATCTTAAAACAATCCTCCAGAACAATCTATATGTGTGTGATGGGTGTTTGTGCACCGAGTACCCCAAGTATTATCTATCTTTGTATACCCATGTGGCAATACATGTTTCTCATAGGATATTTGCATAGGGTAGGGCTACCAATCACACATACCCCTTTTTGCATTAATTGTCTTAAAAATGTACTCTCCTTAACCTAGTTGCGATATGGCAGTTTCTGTTTGTAAAGTCAAATTCTTAAAAGAGCAAAGAGAAAGAGAGACCAAAAAGAAGTTGAAATGTGTTTTACATTGGATGTAAACCCTGTTGTTAAAAAAATGTCACACTGTGTTCCAGAGTCTCCCCAAATATGTCCTGGAGGATTAATTTTCATTCAGTTTGCATTAACTAATTTATTGAATTGGAATTCAGTCCCCATTTGAGGCAATTAGTTTGAGGAGTGACCACATGCTCGCCCACCCGCCTTCTAGAACACCCACACACATATATGCTAAATAACAAGCAAGTGGTGACGGGGTTTGTGTTTGTTTTTCCTTTTCTTTTCCCCTTTTGAGGTATTTTCTGTTCTTGCCTGTTAAATAAATTATCTGTCTCTTTGCAGGATAGTGACAACCTTTGGTGGGACGCATTTGCCACCGAGTTTTTTGAAGACGATGCCACATTAACCCTTTCATTTTGTTTGGAAGATGGACCAAAGCGATACAGTAAGAAAGAAGTTTATTTTTCTAATATTCCTTCTTTTTGCGCCTGTAAGAAAACCACAGGGGTCTTCGGAGAATAGCACAGGGCTGACAGCCTGACAATAACACCTCCACTCCTGACGAGGTTCTTGCTTTCGATCAAGGCATTGTCACCGGGTGGCAGCCTGAGTCGGCTGTGAGAGCTTTCCTTCGAAGCTGAGAATGTTTGGGCACCTGTCTGTTTAGAGAGCGAGGCAAATATGAACCAAGTCACCCAATGATAAGTGGGAGCTGGATTGCGGGGTTTGCATCTGTCTCTTTCCTGTGACCCTCCTTTATCCTTGACAGCTGACACTTAACACCCAATGTTCTGCTTCTGAAGGTTCCTTTAAAAAAAGAAATTCTCACAGTCACTGTATCAGCCACAGCCTCCTAATTTCTTCTTATCAATTATCTCAGGTATTTATTTGACAAGTGCTATCTTTTCTTCGGGGTGGAGGGGGCCATCGCTGCTTTGAACATACAGTTTAGGATTAGTGTTGACAGAATTATAGTTCCTTGTCTTTCTGGCAAGTGATAACTCTGTAAAGATCCTCAAATTACTGCCTGTGGCACGTTGGGTAGCAGCTGATCTGTCCTGATTAGGTTCAGCCAACTTGTCAGAGATCAGATTTGCTAGTTGTGCTATAAGACCAAGAGGCAGAGAAACATCAGCACAAAAGCAATTAATGTCTGGTTAGATCAGAAAGAGATGTGTTTTCAGAAATCAGCGTTGCACGTATGAAAGGATCTGTCAGAGAGTAAAACATCCCAAATGTCACAAACACGGAGATGATGATGGAACCAGCCACTGTATGTATGAAAAAGTCAATCCAGAGCATTGGGCAATTGATAGATAATAGGGCTCATGATAAACATGATTAAAAGCTCTGCTTGTTGCTAAATGTATTTGAAAGCCACTAGAGGGTTTTTTTAAACTTTAGAGGACTTTGGACAACTTAGTAGTATTTTGATCTATTGTATGATGAGCTGATTAATTATGCTACTATGTGCCTGGTGATGTCGCCCAAGTGGCGAACTGGGGAGAGCAGGACAACTTGAGTTTGCTGCCCAATTGGGACTCATTGCCAGGAGCAGCTCTTTAGATTTCTTTCTTGTGAGCTTTTAAGGGCATGGGACATTTCTAGTAAGTATTTTGGGCGAGGGGGGCTGCTGGTGTGCTGTTTTAGAGTGTCTTTGCATTCAACATAAAGATTCCTACTGTAAGCACTGGCACGCCCAGCTCATGGGGGTCCTGAAGAGTTAACCTGCTTTCCTGTGTGTGTGGGGTGCCTCCTAGCAGCCTCATGCCCTGGAGAGGAGGAGAGTCGGGTGCAAAAGCTGCTGTTTCAGAAGTCCCGGGAGATAAATGAACTCAGCAATCCAACAATTGCTCTCTCCCCAAAAGCCCGCCTGATCAATGGTGAATAATTCCAAACCATGCAGTCATCCATCCTCTGAGCCTTCTTATTTTCTTTTGAGGCATAAGCTCAGATAACTTCAAGTTATTATTGTTTTATGTTCCTGTGGGTTTTTGTTTTGTTTTGTCTTTTTGGCTTTTGGTTTGCGAATCCATCCGGGTCTGCTCAGAGAACTAGAATGACAGTTTTAAAGCCTGTACTAATACACAGAGTCTCGATCTTCCCCCTCTGCCCCCTCCCCCTACCCCAACACCAGGGTAAGGCACGATCGGTACCCATTTAAGATCTTACTTATACCCATGCACAGGAGTAAACGCCTGACTATAAGCCATTGTTGTCCAGGTTTCTTTGTTTCCGTGAGCCAAAATATTTCCCGAGCAGAGAAGAGAAACAAAGATGATTGACAGTTTGGAGCCGAGTCTCATCAGCTGCTTTGCTGACAGCCTGGTGATGTGCACATGCTGCTGATGTGTGGGCAAGTGACAGCTGATTGACAGCCCAGGACGGGGAGACAGGGAAGATGAAGCATGCTTAGAACGCCTGACGCACACTGTTTATGCAGCGCTCCAAGCTCTGGCACGGCCACCTTAACCCATTCGCGGTCCAGGCAGTCTGGGCCAGGCAGGGAAAACACCTGCTGGCCCTGGACTGGATGCTTCAGCTCTTCCTTGAGACCTCCTAGGGAGCTGACAGCCCTAGATTTCTGAGAAAGAAAACAAGACTTCGCTATTATATTTCTGTATGTAAAGAATTTCCCAAAATTACATTTATCTTAGGTACTGAGAAATATGCCAGATGGGGCTTATTTAGCCCTTACCAGATATTTTTTTTTTCCTTTTCTCTCTCCATGACTCTGTGTTTACAGGGTCTGTCTGGCTCTAGGATATCTTATCTCTAAGCTACAGTAAATCCCATAATATGTGTTGGCTTATTTATTTGGTGTCTGTCACCATCCTATTAGAATGTCATCTCCGTGTGAACACAAGCTTTATATTATGTATTGCTGAATTCTCAGATTAATACAGGAGCTTGTATGTAATAGATGCTCAATAAATAATTGTTGGATGAATGAATGAATGAATGATGATGAATAAAGGACAGTTGGGGAAAAGTTTATAACACCAAACAGAATGTTGGCAAAACAGTTCCTTGACCTAGATCACTAGACTTTCTAAAACAGGAAGAATGTAATCCGCAGTACTCTGCTGGCATTTTCAAATAAGCTCTAGGATATGGTCTGATCTACTTTAAGCTATTGAGGGGTGGGTGGGTTGGGGGTGGACCAGCGATATAATAATTCAGGAAATAATTATGCTTTCGGAGATAGCATACAGTTTTTTTTTTTTTTCCCAGAAAACTCCTCCGTATTGATCATGTTCCTCCCACCACTCCAGTCCTCAAGCCCTTTCCTCTCCTGATGGGGGTGGAGCTCCTTCCCCAGGTGGGATATAATTGGGCCAGATGGAGACTGCTGATGTCTTCCTGGAAGACCAGGGGTGAGGCTGGTGTCGAGAGGTGCCAGGGGGACAAGGTTACCAGGCCATGAAATTGAGCTGTGCATCCCTGCCTGGTGGAAACATCAGGAAGGTGTTTCTTCAGCAGCTGGAGAAGTGGGCAGGTCTATGAGGTAGTTTTGTCCCAGGGTGACATTGAATCTCAAGTGGAGAAGAGAGCAGGGGCAAATAATTCCCTCTTTGACAGTGGATCAGTAGTTAAAGACTGTTGGAGTTGAAAAGCATCTTTTCTGAAAATAGAAACTTGGTCTAGTGAGCCCCAGCTGGTGAGTCATTGGACCTTAGGTCGGCTGAGTCCAAAGTCCAAGCCAGGGCACCCTCCCTTCCCTACCCCCATCTCACGTCTCTATATCATCCCATTGCTAAAGGGGAAGGAATGGATTTGTCAATTCACACATTTCCTGGAACATAAGTCACAAATGATTACCAAGGCTTAGTTGACACAGAAGGCCAGGGAAGCAGAGGAATGGGATTCTTATGCCCTCTCTTCACTTACTTTATAGTGCTAAGTCCAGCATGGGATGTTGTTTCCCTTCCCCATCTTTTACAAAAATGATCATTCTCAGTTTGATCACTCACTGTGAGCCTCAAGGAAGTACTTCTAGTTCTCTGTGCCTTTTTGAGCATGTAGTAGAATTGTGTCCCATACCATCCTATCCCTCTGTGACCATCACAAGCACCCTCTGGGTGATGGGACTGGGAAGCCCCTCAGGAGACTTAGGCTGTGTCCAGGTCCACGTTGGCTGTGTTCTTGTGTAGGGAATATGTGGTTCCTAGTGCATTCATGAAATCTCTCTTAACTGGGAGAGGTGCAAGGAGAAAGTTCTAATTCTCATGACATTGGGGAGGGTGGGACATTGCACCATGTAGCATACATTTTGGGATGTTAATTCGTGCTTTGATTGGTAAACAAAACTTCCATTTCCTCATCTGCAAGATGTAATACTACCGTCACTGGCTTGGGGTGAAAAATCAAGTGAGATAATACAAAGAGCCTCAGACCACTTGAAGCATGCTGGAGGCAGCACTGATTATTACTACTGATAATAATGCACAGCCTTGGCATTCACATAGCTTCTGTGAGGGTGAGAAGCTTACCATCTGGCAGGGGCTTTTCTAGTGTGCTCAATGGGTAGAGTTTGCTGCAGAGACTCACTAGTCAGCTGGGAACCACATGACCACGCACTGATGGGCAGTTTCTACTGAAATGCAGCATTGAAGAGACTACGTCCTCCCAGGCTTTCCACAGAAACTCAGTTATTTCTGGTATGTAGGTTATGTTCAGGAGGAGGGGAATAGACAGGGGAAGGGTGATTGAGAATGTGTGGAGCTTTGCACTCAGAGGGGCTGAAGACTCCAAACACTAAACACTAAACCTGTTTAGGTTGGCGTTGCCTAGGAAATTAGGGTAAGAAGTGATATAACTACTAAAATGCCATCTCGTTTCAGGGCTCTGCCCATTGGCCTGCTTTTCAGGAATAAGGGTTCAGGTGGGGCTTTGCTTCTGAGACCTGAGCTCCAGCCCAGCTTTGTCTTTTTTTTTTTTTTTAAGATTTTATTTATTTATTCATGACAGACAGACAGACACACACACACACACACACAGAGGCAGAGACACAGGCAGAGGGAGAAGCAGGCGCCATGCAGGGAGCCTGATGTGGGACTCATCCTGGGTCTCCAGGATTACACCCGGGCTGAAGGTGGCGCTAAACTGCTGGGCCACCCGGGCTGCCCTAGCTTTGTCTTTTACTACTTGTGTGATTTGGTATGCATCACTTTCTGAGCATCAGTGGCCTCATCTGAAAAGTGAGAGCTTGTTGAAATGATGTATATAAAGTTCTCAGCAGAGTTTTTAGCACCTTGAAAATGCTACTTAGGGGATCCCTGGGTGGCTTAGTGGTTTAGCGCCTGCCTTTGGCCCAGGGCGCCATCCTGGGATCGAGTCCCGCGTCGGGCTCCCGGCATGGAGCCTGCCTCTCCCTCCTCCTGTGTCTCTGCCTCTCTCTCTCTGTCTATCATCAATGAATAAATAAATTAAAATAAATAAATT